CTTTCCAGGTTCTCTTTTAGTCATTCATATACTCATACATACAGATAACGGATTGCAAGGAGGAAAATGATTGACCAGAATTTCACTTAGGCAAAGAATGGCTTATACTTAAAAGAGATTGATCCCTAACCTCCCTAAGGACAGTTTATAATTCATTGGACTAACTCATGTTCTAGACAAATTTTTTTCTGATATATAACTCTTAAATTAAACGCAGAATAGAATCAAAACATCAAAAATCCTCAAAAAATACTAAACAGAGCTGCATATAACTCTTCCTACTGAGCTGTATCAGTCTCCCTCGGTTGCAGAAAAATCAATTTTGAGTTTTTCTTTTCGTCTTATGCAGTTCTTGAAGTTGAAAATTCAAGCAGCCATTGCCATTACATTCTTTTCGATCATTTATTTCGTAATGCCTTAATACTGTTTGCCAAAAGAAAGAACAGAAATCCTATTTGCCTTTTCGATTCATTTCTCCAAGCTAATAGTGTACATTTGTATTCTGTCTCAAAACAGAGCTATATAACAAAATTCCATGGCTCCAGGCCTAATCGGTCTTACGGGATAGTCACAAGTTTGAATTCATTGACATGCCAAAAATTTATGTTAAATCTGAAGCTGATGAAAATTGACTGATTTTCATGCAGATTCATATCCTCTTATATGGTATGAGATGAAAAAGTTGTCCTTAGATTCAAATCAATAGGCTCACGGTCCTAACCATTTTCTCACTGCACCAAACAATGACCCCTAGTGGCCGGCCATAGCTGCTCATCCCTTACTCCCAGCAATTTTATTTTGTGATTATCATAAGAGGAAGATGAGAGAGCCAAGTGGAAAGGCGGAAAATTATGGGAAACTAACTGGAAGTTGTGGGGAGAAAGGAAATGTGGGGAAGAGATAACCGCCTGTTTGAAAAAATTCAAATAAGTGGTTACATGGAAAACTGATTTTGATTGGAAATAATGTATTTTTAATTAAATAATTCAAGAACATGGCAATTAGGCAATTAAGGAGGGTAGACTTTATATTTTGTAAGCCTCCTCTCCGAGAAATAATTTGTTTTTCTTATGTAGATAGATTCGTAGAAATTATCAGCAGTCTATTGAACTTACATATTTTCTAGTTTAAGCTAATCAATTTAGGCTCTTTATCCGAATAAATTTATATTAAAAATTAAATCTCTGAAATCAGATTCAGATTTGAATAGCTTAATGTATAGTGATATCATACTCCGAATTTAATAGGGCCAAGTTCGAGTCAGAATAAACTTTTTCTGCATCTAACCAGGTCAAAACCCCAAACTAACTCTGTAGCCAAATTTACTTGGATTGGTGTGATTTAATTTGAACTATTGAGTAGCATGTTCAGTGTGAGCTTGCATCTGACCTGGAGTAGGAGAAAATATTCATTACAACAGTAATACCATAATACCACATGACAATGTGATGTGGTATTACTTGCCAATAATATTAAAACAAATAAGCAAATGAATCCCACAAAAATTATAATTAACTTGTCATGTAAGTAAATAACTTTCCACTCTTCCTTCATGTAAGCCCAAGTAGGGTCACCTGACCCACTTGGGGTTTTATTATTAGTTAGTGATACAATGTCATCCACCGTTGCATTTAATATTTACTCCTGGAGTAGGGATTCTGTTACTTTATTCCATGCCCTGCAATGTCTTCTGTTAATTAAATGAAATCCTATGTATATTAGTTCTTTGAACTAAATACAAATAAAATAGATAGACATTCCATATATGTCAGACACATGCACATATAGCCGTGGCACGCTACTGCTTTTGTTTGATGCTTTGGTTTGTAGTTTTACTGGCATAGGGGGAATGTAGGAAGAAAGCAAAAAAAATTTGTTGATTTTTTGTTTACCACTCACAAATATTTTGAAGCTTTTTCTCACTATGTTGATCAGGGATCATTCATGTCAATCTGGTAGAGGGAGTTAAGATGCATTAGACAAACAATTTTTTATTGTTTTAGTGGACTTTTTGAAAAAAATGGAGATTTGTATTTTAATTGGATAATTGAATCAGTTAAGTACAAGTTCGCATCAAGATGTTTGGCAAGGTGATTGTTCCCATTTATATAAATAGTGCTCTCTATTTTAGATAACATCTTTTCTTAAATAGAGAGCATCTTTAGTAAAAAGTTATAATAGAATGTGAATATTTAGACCACTCTAATAGGACTCTTTATTCTTATCATTTTTTTTTTTGGGATGGGAGGGGAGGGGGGGGGGGGGGGGGACTTGAACCCTTAACCTCAAGAAGGCAAAGCCTTCACAAGGCAAGGAGTACCATTGGACCAAAGGCTCATTGGTTTCTTATCATTTTATGTTGTCATTTTTGGCAATAAATTTGACTTCCCTCCCATTTTTCCTCCATTATTGTAAATGAGATACGTTTATCCTAAATGTCTTGAATGAAAAGTCAAATATATATTTTGTGTGGTCCAAAAAAATTGAGTAGAGATAGAGTTCGACTCTTCAAATGTAGAAGAGTTAAATTAGACTCTTTATGTTAGAGAGTCTAAATAAAGAGTCCAACAAGAAATTTTAAAAGTTACTCTCTATAATAGAGAATTGAGTGGGAATAAAGAGGCTATTGGAGATGCTCTAAATTCTTGGAAGACTATCCAAGTCTCTGGAGAAGCAATTAGTTACGTGAGATGTAATATTTTATGCTCCTCAAGTCTTGTGCACCTACACGGGCTAGATAGCACTCGGACTTCCCATTTGGGGGCATTATACAGATAGTGGGGCAATCTGTACCACCTTAATTTTCTCATCTTCACTTTTTTTTATTCGTTTATATTTCTACAATGTCGTGAAATGATGGCAAAGATTACCTCATTTTTCTTGCCTTTTCTTTTTTCTGAATGAGACAGATTTCAGTCATCTTGATTAAAATCTGTGCCACCTCAATTTTGTCATCTGGATTGTGCTTTCTTTCTTATTTTCTTTAATGTTTTGGTGAAATGTCAATGATCACCTCACTTTATTTGCCCACAAATGCACATAAAATCATGCAGATACAAGTATCTACAACACATGGTTATCTTGCTCATATGAAAATTGCACTCATATGAAAGTTGCACTGTTCTGCATAAGACCATATTGCTATAATTTGTGGTTGTTTTGAAGATGAGCAATGCTATGCTTATTAAACGTTTTTACCAAATCTTCATCTCCAATGATGTAGCATATTTTTCACCATTAAATAAATGGATCCCATTAATATTCAACGATGGAGATTGTGCTACATCATTTGGGATGAAAGATTTAGTATACAAACTTGGTAAGCATAGCTTTATTGTTTTGCTGACATGTACTAAATTTATCGTAGACAACAATCTGAAGGCCAGTGTCAGTATTTATGAAGATTATTGAACACTGTCATGTATGGATTCAACAGGCGCTTCTGGTGGTCTGTGATGGGAGCTAGCTGAAGCTCGGAAAAAAGATGCGCTAGATCGAGCCAGAGTGCGTGGTGAGCAACCACCTGCTGAGTTGCTTGCTGAAGAGAGGGGTCTACATTCTAGTATTGAAGCAGATGTAAAGAGTCTCTTGGAAGGGAAAACCTATAGTGAATTGGAAGCACTACAGTCCCACATTGAGTCACAGATGCGTTCTGGCACTGCCAAGGTGGTTGAGTATTGGGAAGCTGTTCTCAAACGTCTCCACATCTACAAGGCAAAGGTACATCGTTTACTCTTCTCGAGTTCCTTTATATTTATGTTCTCTTGAGTTGAATCTCAACACCTAATTTGTATAATTACAGGCTTGTTTGAAGGAAATTCATGCAAAAATGTTGCAGAAGCATTTGGAGCGCCTTGAGCAACCGATGGGAAGCCAAGATACTTTGGAAGAGGATCAGGATTCTAGGCCTATAGAGGACGAGCCTGATCAGGGTATGTATTTTTTCATAGCTGGTGTGGTTTTTGTACTTTGGCATGAGGAATGGTAAGCCAATAGTCCTTCCGCACAGATGCTCTAGCTCTCTCTCCAGAACCCATATTGGATGAAGAGTTTCACGAGGAAGAAGAGGAGGCTGGATCTTTTTCGCCAGAGCTGTTGCATGGTGATGAAAATGATGAAACAATTGACCCCGAGGAGGACAGGGCTATACTGGTAACTTGCCTGTAGATGTCATCTTTTGTCACTCGTTGACTGATTTTATATGGAAAATATGCTAAACCTGTACGTATATTATGGTGCCTAACAGGAAAGGAAACGTATAGTAGTTTTGGAAGAACAACAAAGACGAATCCAAGAAGCAATGGCTTCAAGGCCAACTACATCTGAAGATGACTTGGAGATGAAAGCCATGAAAGCTATGGGAGCCATGGAAGTGGGTGATGCTGTATTTGGCTCAAGTGATGAAGTAAACCTTGATTCACAGGTATCCCATCTTGGTCTGCTTTCCCTATTATTGCTTCTGGATGACAGTATTTTTCACACAACCACCATCAATGTGGATGCAGGTGTACTGGTGGCATGACAAATACCGCCCCAGGAAGCCAAAGTACTTTAACCGTGTTCACACTGGGTATGAGTGGAACAAGTACAATCAAACTCACTATGACCATGACAATCCACCTCCAAAGATCGTTCAAGGGTACAAATTCAATATTTTCTACCCAGATCTTGTCGACAAAACAAAAGCTCCTACTTTTACCATAGAGAATGATGGAGATAGTGCTGAGACTTGCATTATAAGGTTTCATGCGGGCCCTCCTTATGAGGACATTGTAAGTTGTCTTAGTCTATTAGCTGATTTTTTGGTTGAATTTTTTTACTTGAAGAACGAAGTGACTCTGTTTCTTGCAATCATAATATAGGCATTCCGAGTTGTGAACAAAGAATGGGAATATTCTCACAAGAAGGGATTCAAGTGCACGTTTGAACGAGGAATCTTACATGTATATTTCAACTTCAAACGCTACCGGTACCGTCGGTGATATGATAGGGCACGAGACATGTGGTTCCTCGGTCATCAACTATGCTTTGGCATCATTCTTCCATTGGCACAAACTGGAGGACTAGAAAAGATTACTAAAGCCCAAGGAAGGGGCTTTGAACCATGTCATCGTGGGGTAATGTGCATTAAGATTCTATTTTCACGAATGGTTCTACTAATACATAATCAGTTATTTGCAGCCTTGGACTGGACTTCCTATCCTTCCTCTCCAGGTATGGTTCAACTAATACATTATCATTTATTTGCAGCCTTGGACTGGACTTCCTCCCTCTCCATGTAAGTTTGTCTTTCGTGTTCATGTCTCGTAGTTCATGTCTCGTATTCATGGTTGGAAGTCTAGGCTGGACTTCCTAGGTCTCTATGAGGTTTTCTGTATGCAGCTATGTTCTCATCTACAACATGGTTGCCCTCGAGTACCCATTATGAGCGCGCGCCCAAGAGTCAAAATCATTAGCCATCGGCTTTAACCGACTCAATATTCCATATATATGTCTGGAACTTGAACTTAAAATTTGAACAGTAGTACACAGTACACATTGTTATGAAGGGATATGTATGGAGTGTTCCCATTATAATTTCGTACTTAGTTCCACCTTCTCATCCCAATGAGAGAGATTTATTTATATGTATTTGGTTGCACTTGAATTCATGCTCATTTATTTATATGTATTTAGTACAAATGTTTTGGATTATTTACCTAGTCACATGTAGGATCGAAAAAGGAAAGGAAGAACATATTCAGAACTAGGCAGATCGGGTTGATTTTTTGGTATTATATCTCTATTTTTCATCTAATAAAATCGTGACATGTATATATTTTTCAATCAATAATCACTAATCAATCAAATTTACCTTTATTATTAAAGATCAATTTCGGTACGATATCTATAATGTTTGGGGGGTAAGGTAGACTTGTTGAACGTTAATCTGACCAGTTCCTTCTGAACATGCATTGTTCCCCCAACACAGGTACTATGGGAGGCCTTTTACCCGGCAATTCTCAGCTTCTGTCATAATAATTTTAACTGTTTTTTCGATCAATAATTTCTAAATTATGTTGAAAACTTGAGATAGTTTTGACTCTCTTATCATATCATACAAACCAACAAAAGTGAAAGTTTTGGCCATGGTTAAAAACAAAGATTGTATATATATATATATATATATATATGAAATATTGTTTTCATTAGCTGGATGAAAAACATCAATAATCATATCTATATAATAAAACAAGTATTCCTATCTACACAAAGTATAATAATGGTTCAAATCGTGTAGATCAGACCAGGGCCTACCCAAACGTTAGGTCAATAAAATTTGAGCTTTAGGCCCCACTTTAAAGAAGGTCACATAATTTGTAAGTATGTAATACATTAATGTTATTAGGACATAATATATTGTAACCAATGAAGTGATAGGTCCCAAAATGTGTAATAATAGCTCAAATAAAAAGTTTGAATCCATAAAAAATAGGTTCCACAAAAAAATTTAAAATTTAAACTCAAACAAAAGATTTCAAGTTTAGTAGATCGGACCTATTCATTTAGCCTATAAAATTAAAAGATTCTTAAATCTATTTATTTTTAATAAAAAGGAAAGAAAAAAGTTAACAGTAAAATTAAAGTTACTGAAAAATTAAGTGTTAATCTCTGAAAAAGTCAAGTTCAAGCTTACCATCATAATTTCTCTCTCTCTCTCTCTCTCTCTCTCTCTCTCTCTCTCTCTCTCTCTCTCTCAAGTTCAAATACAGTAACAAAAACTTGAATATAAAAACTCAATTAATATTTTTATATTTATTAATATTAAAAAGTAAAATCTTATTTTTTGTTCCTTTAGGTCCCAAAATATTTCGTGGCCACCTTGCACTTTTGCATGTGGGCAAGCTTTTAAATGGGGACAATGTGGCTGATAATTTTGAACACGGAACACGACACAAAATTTAGCAGATTTAAGTTTAGTTTTAATAAGGCAGGGTGATGAATAGAAAAATTCATTAGACTAAGTACACAAATCTAATTAAATATGACACATATTCATGATACACAATCTATATATGATTTATATTAGTTACAAACTCGACATAATATAAAATTAATTAGATATGATTATTAATAAATTTTATCATAATACAAACTAAATATGACACAACGGCTAGCAGCCGAAACTTATGAGGCAGCCTTGACCATGATTCCAAGGGACTATTTTGTAAAGGGGTATGGGCGGACTTTATAAAATGGGGTTGGAAAAAATAATTTAAAGAACTCTAAAACTCCATGTTTGCATTGAAAATTCAATCTTGGGTTCTCAAACCTGCCTCCTAGTTGCCCTGAATATTAAATCAATGATTATGAGTTTGGTCGAACTTAGGAGGGGGTGGGTCTAAGAAGATGAAAAAAATGATTAAAGATGTCAAAAATAATTGTACCCCTTAACATGAGTATGAATTGAATTGAATAAGGAAAAAATAATCATTTACATGACGAATAGTTGTTAATAATTATGATATATTCCTGAGTCCTATATGTGTATGTGTTGTATACCAAACATGAGTATGAATCGAATTTAATGCTTTATAAAGAGGGATTTGAGAATAAAAAAGTTTGAAAAAGATAATCTAAACCCTACCAAAAAATCCATCCAAACAAGTCCCAAAAGGTCAAGTTCATGAACTTCAATAATTTCATGTGGATTTCAAAACCGTGTCCATGCAGAGAGTTTGATTCAACTGTGAATAAATAGCTGCCCATTTAGACTAGCCAAGGGATTTCATCTCTTAAATTATATTTTATATATTTTTAATACATTATATATTATTAATTGAAATAAATTTTCTTTTTTTTTTGGGTCTATAAGGGGTAAAAAAAATTAAAAAATATAGAAAGAAATCTAGATCGAGACAAAAAAGTTAGAATGTCCCCAAATATGATGTAATCCAACTATTTTAGCACGTAAATTGAAGAAAACGGCTACGGTACTAAAACTTTTTGTTATATTGTATTAAAAAAATATCATTATTAAATGTAATCGACCATTACATTTCTATCGATTATAAAATGTTGTTGTCGGTCATGAACTCACTCAAAAATTGAAGTTTTAATATTTCATCAAAAAATAATTCCTAAATTTTTTTTAGTACAATTTATTAATAGAACACTACTTGAAAGCGCGTCTCAAATACACACTGCCACAACAAAAAATAGTTACATAAAAATCTATCATATTACTCTAAAAGATTTAATTGCAGTATCAAAGACATTTTTCGTGAAATCAAACCAAGGTTACTATAAAATAAGGTTGTTATTGTGATTCAACATCACAAATAGAATTATTATGGGATCCTTTCATTTATTAGATTTTGTTTGTTTTGAGTTATATTGTTGTACTAGTTATTGTTTGTGCCTGAAGACATAGAGTTTTAAAAAAAAATTTAGTTATAAACATATTTGTATTTACACTCAAAATCAAATTATAAATATAGAAGAGAGAAAAAAGAATTTAAACATGAATTGTTGTGGGGGTGAGCGATGGTAGTGGTGGTGGCGGCGACGAACGTGGTGGTAGTAACAACCATGGATGACAATAGTGATGATGGTAAATTTTGGGTGACGATGGTAATAGTGACAACCATGATGACGGTGGTGGTTATGATGATGGCAATAATGGGTTGCCGTAGTGGGCGACGACTGTTGCTTGAGGTTGGTGGCGAATGGCGGTGGTGACAGTGAGTGACGGTGGTGGTGGGATGATAGCGATAGTAGTAATAAATATAAAAAAGAGATGATGATAGTGGTGGACGGTAGCAGTGGGTGGTGGTAGTAGCAATCGGTGGTGCGAAACACGTAAAATTATTCCTATTAAAACACAGAAAATAAAATAAAATTACGTAGTCCATTTAAATAATCAGAATAAATACCCTGTTAAGTTAATTCTAATAAAAATAAATATTTCCAATTTTAAAACCTCTACTTTTAAAAAAAAAAATTGCATGGTGCCCCGCTGTAACTTCACTACTGATTGTAACTTTGACCATTTTGAATTGTAAATTAAACTCTCAAAAAAGTATGATATAATCATTTTTTAACATTATAACTTTAAGATATTTACAGTCTTCCCTAAATTTAATAATTTAAATTGGCCATTGTGAACTCTCTGACTAAGGACCAATAATTTGTCAATAAATCTGTGGGCCATATCATAGTAAAATTGATTTATTAACTACTGTTTTGAATATTTTCCTTAGAAAATATAATATTTTTACTTTTATTTTTTTTAATGGTAATAGAATGTTTGATGTTGGCGGCTTTTTTGAGCAACACTAAAGTGAGACCGTACAGAGCTTTTTATCCATCACAGGTTTTTTGAAAAAAAATTTCAATAATTTTCAAACCCAAGCAATTTAAACACGAGAGGTAGTATGACGTTTTTTAGTTTAAAAACGTTAGTTGATCTAACATTTTTTGTCTAAAAACATCACTCCAAATAACGTCTTTAACCCAGCACAAGTAGCGAGTTAACTCCTTGAAAAATGTCAACCAGACTGAAGCATTTAATTTTTTTAACTTATAATTTTAACTTATAAGCGTTAGACCAAGTGACGCGTTTAATACACTACCTAAGTCTTTCAACTAAAGGACATCCTAAGTCTTTTAACTAAATGATTGACCGATGGGAATATCTAATAACTAAAGGACATCACTCCATTGAATAAAAAAATAAATTAATATTTATTTGGGTAGTTATCATAAATGACCCATAAATTTTCTCTCGAATTTTAATATAGTTCCTAAAATTTTAATTTTTTTAATTTAATCTATCAATTATCAATTTTATTTCAATTAAATTATTCCATTAATTTTCATCGTCAGATCAATTGGAGATTATATCAATTTGATTGATTTCAGCATTGATCTAACGATAAACAAATATTAATTTTTTTATTTTTATTTTTATTTTTTTATGATAGTTTTTTTCCATCGAAGA